CAACACTCTTGGCACCAGTAGCTAGGAATTAAAAAAAGTATTGTGATGGGAAAGTCTGCTGTTAGGGACCTTTCTAAAGTACTCAAGAGCAACGGTGTCTCTCTGGAGACTAAGGTGCATCTAGTACAGGCCATAGTCTTTGCAATCACTTGTTATGCGTCAGAGAGTGGGACAATGACCAGGGAGGATAGAAGAATTGATGCTTTTGAGCTTTGGTGTTGGAGAAGAGTGTTGAGGGTACCATGGACAGCTACAAAAACAGATTCATCCTAGAGAGAGTTAAACTAGGCTGCTCCTTGGAGGCAAGGATTCTGAGGCTTCGTCTTACATACTTTGACCATGTTGAAAGGAGAGAGACAGGTCCTTGGAGAAGGACATCATGCTTGGGAGGGTGGAGGGCAGGCGCAGGAGGGGAAGACCCTCTAGGAGATGGATTGATTCAGTGACTGGGGTAATCGGGATGGGAGTGTCAGAGACAATGAGATTGGCACAGGACAGAGCAGAGTTTAGAGCTGTTGTACATAGGGTCGCTATGAGTTGTAAGCGACTCAATGACACATAACAACAACAACAACAACAACAACAATTGTGATGAGAAAGTCTGTGGTTAGAAACCTCTCTAAAGTACTGAAGTGCAACAATGTCAGTCTGGAGACTAAGGTACACCTGACACAAGCCATGGTCTTTGCAATCACTTGCTATGCATCAGAGAGCTGTACAATGACTAGGAAGGATAGGAAGAGAATTGATACCTTTGAGCTGTGGTGCTGGAGAAGAGTATTGAATATACCATGGACTGCTAAGAAAATAAATAGGTTTGTCCTGGAGAGGGTGAAGCCGGGCTGCTCCTTGGAGGCAAGGATTCTGAAGCTTCGTCTGACATACTTTGGACATGTTGCAAGTAGGGACCAGCAGGGCAGTTTAGGGCTGTTGTACATAGAGTCGCTATGAGTCACAGGCGACTCGACGGCATGTAGCAACAACAGGACGAACCTGTTTGTTCTCCTTGCAGGCCACGGTATAGTCAATACTCTTCTTCAGCACCACAGCTCAAAGGCTGATCAATTCTTCTACTATCCTCCCTAGTCACTGCCCAGCTTTCTGATGCATGGCAAGTAATTGCAAAGACTAGGGCCTGGATCAGGCACACCTTAACCTCCAGACTGACATCGTTGTTACTTTGGAGAGGTCTCTGACAGATTTTCCTAGTGCAATTAATCTTTAAATTCAAAAACTATGTACAATAGAGCACACTTAGAATTCTTTTTTTTTTAAATTTTATTATATTTTGTGTGTGTACCATCAAATCGGGTCTGACTGGTACAGGAGGAGATGTGCCCCTTCTCCAGCGGAACATCTGGTGTAGAATTCTTTTTTTTTTAATAAAATTTTTATTTTATACTGGTTTGCTTATAAAGCTCATTTACGTTGTTTTCCACACCAGATCTTTCCAATTTCCTTTACCCCACACTTCCCTCTACCCATCAAATTGTGAGACCCTATGATTATTACCCCCTGCCCATCCTCCTCCCTCTGCTCCTACCCTCCCCCGACTTTGTTCTTATACATGTTTTACTAGTTCTCTTCCTATTTCTACAGTGTCAGTATTTATTCTTACGGGACTGAGTTAGTTCACTTAGCATAATGCTCTCCAGTCCCTCCCAGGTTATGTAGTAACGTGGCACCATTTAACTCATAATGCCTCCAACCCTGGAAATTTTTCAGCAAAAGAGCAAGGATTAGTATGCTCCAGAGTGAAAAGTGAGTATATGTTTCATATAATCATTCATATACATTGCACTTTATAAAACTAATTGCCATTTGTCTATTACCCTGTCCCCACTGGATCTTCCGAATTCCTTCAGCCCCTCCCTCCTCCCACCAAACTCTGTCATGTTGGGGATTATCTGCTCCTCTCCCCCTTTTGGACTTTTATCCCCATCTTACCAGTAATCCTTCCATTTTTAAAGTTATGGTCTTAGGCAGTATTTGTCCTTTTGAGACTGAGTTAGTTCACTCAGCATAATGTTCTCTAGACTCTCCCAAGATAGATGGTATTTTACAAAATTGTTGCTCCCTGGTGCTGCATACTATTCCTGTGTTTCTCGTTTGTTTGTTGATGGGGTATTTGGTCTGTTTCCATTTTCTTGCTATTGTGAATAATGCTATGAACATAGGTGTAACAAATATTTGTGTCTCTGTTGGTTTCCTTGGGGGTGGAATTTCTAGCAGTGGAATTACCGGGTCCTATTGGCATGTCTATGTTCAGCTTTTTGAGGACATGCCAACTGCCTTCCAGAGTGGTTCTACCATTTTAAAATCCCACCAGCAGCGTATGAGAGTTCCAATCTCTCCAACATTTATTACTTGCTGTTCTGTTAAACTTTGCTACTGCTACTGGGGTGAGATGGTATCTTACTGTGGTTTTGATTTGCATCTCTCTTATTGCCAGTGATTTGGAGGATTTCTCCATGTGTCTGTTGGCCATCTGAATATCCTCCTCTCAATAGTCCATGTTTTTTTCCCATTTTGTGATTGTGATTATCAGTCCTTTCCTTGCACAGGCCCAGTAGGATTCTGTCAACTTCTGTTATTGAGACCGTTGCCTGAGATGACATTGCCAGTTTTTCTCCAATCTATAGGTTTTCTTTTCATCCTATTGGAAAAAGGATCTGATGCACACAGGGGCTTAATCTTTAGAAGATTAAGTTATCCGCTCCTGGTTGGAAAGGAACTTGATCACAGAGATCTGAGTGACACAAGGCACAGCAGGGTCATGCTGGAGGCCTAGGGAAGGGGACTCAAGTGTGGGAGACACAGGGGGTCAGGGGCTGGTCCTCTTGGAGCTCTGGGAGATCAAGGGGATGGCGGGGATTCATGGCACCAGGTGGCTGAGCCTTCTCTGTGTGGGCACTAGGATCCCGGTGTGAAGGGTCACACAAGGGCAGAACGGGGTGGGGGGGCATGGCCAATGGCAGCATCCCTGAACCATCAAAGAGCTATGTATGGAGGATGGTGGGTGGAAGGTGGTGGGCTGGACAAGAGTGGACGCTGAATGGGGGCTGTAGCTGAAGGAGAGGACAGGCCAGCTGACGAGTGACGCAGCTCTCAACGGGCAGTGCTGGGGCACAGAGGACCAGAAGAGGGCAGGAAGCTGCCAGCTGGCTGCACAGGGGGCCCCAGGCCAAGCCCGTGGCCACAGGAGCCCAGAGCCCAGCTCGCTGGAGGCTGCAGCCCAACTCCCAGCCTCAATCACCACTGCCCATCAAGCAGGTCTCGGTGGTCAGGGCTGGGCTCGCACACATGGGGACAGAGCCCCTGAAGTGTGACAGGAGGCGAGTCACCACCTCAGCCTCCTACACGGGCAGGCCAGGCCCCCTGCTCACCATGCATCCTCTCTGGAGTGGCCATCAGGAGACAATGCCAGTCAGGAGGGGTGTGGAGAAGGGAGAGGTGGCAGTTCCTGGGCTGCAAGGGCTGGGGTGGCCATGCGGACCCTCCCAGGCATGGTTCACTCACAGTGAGCCCCACCACCCAGGTCCTTGCTTTCCCAGGACAATGGTCACTTTGGAACAAGCCTGGCTGTGCCCTCAGTGCCACGGCAGCAGGGAGGGGCTCCAGGGGAGATACCCGCTTCCCACCAGGCCTGTCCATCTCCACAGAGTGAGTGAGTGACCAGTACTACCCAGAGGCCACAGCCACATACAGCTCAGGCTGTGATGGGCCTGCATCCTGAGGAACCCTGTGGGCTGGCTCTGGCCCTCGGAGAGGCCAGCCTAAACCCAGCCAGCAGGAAGCACACACTCTGGCCCAGATGCCCCTAAAGGACTCCCCTCACGGAGAGGTCTGAGGAGGGAGCAGGATGGCGGCCTTGGCCAGGATGTCCCTGGACACTCAGTGAACACCCCCTCCGCCCTCCCCTAGGGTAGCTGAGGCTGCAGCGAGGCGGTGAGCAGGTTCACCACCAGGGCGTGTGGAGGTTTGAGCCACAAGTCCTCAGCCCTGCAGAGCCGGGGTGGAGAAGTGGCAGTGGTCCACTGGGGACAAATGGAGGGCCATCCCAGAAGCCTGGGGCTGGACAGGAGGGGGCACTGCTCATCTGCTTTGTTCCCACCCACTGCCCGGCCGGCGGGGGAGAAAGGGCCCCGGAGCCGCGGGGGAGGGAGAACAGAAGCCAAGAGCAGCCTCCTTCTTACACAGAAATAAGAAATAGAAAACCATTTTATTAACATGTTTTACATTTACAGTTTATTAGCTAGTCAACATCAACATGCAAAAATAAGCGCTAACTACAGCCTCTACAGCACGTGTGTGTGGACCGCCTCGGCCAGCGGGCTGGAGGCCACCAGCGGTCGTCCCACCCAACCACCGCTCTCTGGAACCAATGATGTTTAAACTGAAGGCAGAGTGCCGTCCGGCGAGGCCTCTGCACTCGGTCCAGTGGCGGCCACGTGAATACATTCTCTGAGCAGGACGTAAGGCGGTGTGTGCGGCAAGGGCCCGCGAGGTCAGGCAGCGGCTCGAGGAGGGAGCCGTCACATCCCCTGTGGGGCGCCCCTGTGGTCACACCATGGTCACGCTCCACGCCACCACCGCACCAGGCCCGGGGCCTCGGCAGATGGAAGCCTGTGAAGACCCAGCCCGTTTCCCAAGTCTCATTATTAGAAAAAGGGAGGGAAACTGAGAAACCGGGGGGAAGTGATCAATTCCTAGCTCTGAAATGTTCTAGAAGTTTCCCTCGGTGTTGGAGTCCGTCTGTAAAGAAAGGGTGCCTTTGAAAGGTGAAAGTCCTTTTCAGAAGCATCAAATATTGGCGTTATGTTCCAAAATCCTACCCCTCAATCGTGTTCCCGTCCAAGCGCGTGGGGCGGCGCTTCCTCCCGGGGAGGCCTCGCTGCTGCTGGCTGGTCTTTGGTGGCAGGGAACAGTGACGCGGTGGGACGCGGTGGCGGGTGCCGAGGACGCCTGGTGCCCGCGCCCACCACCGCGCACGCGCCGGCCTACATGATGTACACCTTCTCAGCCTGGGAAAAGTGGAAGACTTCTTTGGTTCTTGGGCACACGACTTTGTCGTCTTGGCGGATGGAAAGCAGAGACTGGAAAGGCGACAAGAGCACATTAAGACGGCACGCGTGGCCGGACCAACACCCACATCCAAACCTCCTGCTGCCGGCTCATTCTGACCTGCGGGGAGCTCAGGGGTGAACTGTCCACCCTTCTAGCAGGAGCCCCCCACTTCATCTACAGCACCACCAAGGCCCGTTACCACCTCACACCATCCATGAGGTCTGCCCGAGTTACTCCCCAAAGGTCTGGGCTCTCTCACTGGTTCCTCCCCCTTTGCCCATGTCCAAAGGACAGCTCCGTCTGGGGCAGTGTGGCCAGTGCTGCAGCCTGCCCCTCCTAGATAACGGCCCTCATGCAGGAGCCGGGCCCACCCTCCCTGCCCTCCGCCCTCCCCGCCCACACGTGGTGGCAGCTGTCCCTGCCCTCCACCCTCCCTGCCCGGCCCTCACGTTGTAGCCGTAGACATAGCCGTTGGGCAGCATCATGGGCGGGTTGTTCTCATTCATCACGTCGCCGGAGATCTTGCACACCAGGCGGGAGTTGGCGCAGTGGGCCATGGGCAGGGGCTGGGCCAGCTTGTTGAGGGAGCGGCTGCACACGGGGCAGTCGGGGCTCTTGGAGCTGCCGTCCTCCTTGTAACACTGCCTGCAAGGCTGGTTAAGGAAGGCTCCGGGCCTGCTGTGGGCGGCGAGGAGGACAGGGACGTGCGGGCACCACCCCCCCCGCCCTGCCCACATGCAGCCATTTCTCAAGGCTGAGACAAGTCAAGTACTCTACGGGAAAACTGCCTCCTTGAGTGGAGGGGCCCTGTGGGTGCTGGGCCCTGGAGGGCTCCTGACAAGCACACACCTCTGCCCAGGAGCCTCCAGCTGGGGAGGCGCAGAGACCTTGGGGCCTGTGCTAACTCTTATAGCAGTGCAAGAGCTGCGTCCCCTGACTCCTGGTCACGTGGACTGGCCCACAGCACCCAGGCGATGGTCAGTGACTAAGAGGCAAACAGCTGACAGGGAAGGGGCACTGTGGCCTGGCAGGGCCGTGGCAGGAGCTGTGTGGGGGGAGAGGGAGCAGCTGACCAGCGAGAAGTTAGCTCACTGGAACCGAACAAGCCATGAGAAACGCTGCAGGAGTCCCAGAAACCAGGCGGGAATGACATTTGGAGGGCAGACGTCACTGCTGTCCACCCCACACGAGCACTAGCTGGCCTCTGTGCACCTGGCACGGCTTCAGCCCGAGGGTCAGCTGAGGATGCACACGGGTGCTGGGCTCCCCCCAAACCAGGCTGACCTGGGCTAGCGCTAACCCAGGACGACGCCATGCCTCTCCGTCCAGTGCCGCCCGATCCGAGGACGCAGGCTGAGCGGGCAGAGGAAGGATACGGGGTCTTGATGGCCGAGAGGCCGGCCTGCAGCGTGAGTGTGAAGACCGAGTTGTTGCCCAGCTGGTGCAGCCGGTAGTTGTCGTATCGGAACTGCTGGATCAGCATCCGCCACCGGGCCGGGTCCAGGAGGTCCTGGGGGAGGACAGAGGGGCTCAGGGACTGCCCGGAGCAGCAGAGGCCTCGTCCAGGTTGTGGCCTGGGCAGTTTAACAAAGCTGGGGTGGAGGTGTTGCCCTCAGACGAGAGGGCATGGACGAGATCCATGTTGGGAACTTTCCCATGAAGCTTAGTGACCAGAACCTCACTGTGGGGAGTGGTTCCCGCCCAGGGTCCAGTGCCCACACTGAGTCAGCACTCGACGTGGCTCTCCCTGACCAACAGGACCTTCTGAATCTGGGGCCAGATGAGGTGAGTGGGGCTGGGCCCGAGGTCCCCCCGTGGACAGCCAGGCGTGGGATGTGGGAGGTGGGAAGGAGGTGGGGGCCACCAGTTACCTTGTATGGGGAGATGTGCGTGTCAGACGGGAAGGCCAGCATGCCCATGACCTGGCGGACCTCGTCCAGCTGGCTCCCTTCTGCCTGGCTGAAGTGTTTCCTCGCGTGTCTGGAAGACATAGAGACATCCGGCTGTCCCACAGACCCATGCCAGCACCCTGTGCCAATCCAAGGGTGAGATGAGCCTTTCCACCCCGCATGCTGCTGTGACAAGCAGGGGCTCACATAGGACGGGACAGTAAAGGACTCTCCCACAACAGCGGGCGGGCAGGCAGGGACTCGCGCTCCAGAACACTGGCCAGTGGGGGGACGCCGGATATGGAGAGAGGGATGCTCACCACGGAGGCGGGGGCCTGCAGTCCACATGGGCTGCACAGGGGGAGCAGTGAGGCCGCCCACCCCAGAGGAAACCACGCGAGTGCTCCCTGGACAGACTAGAACGCGTGCAGCCAAGCTCTGCTTTATTTACCATGAATCCTCACCCCAGGACTTGACTGGTCCACCCTGTTGACTGCCTGGCTCACAGAGCACGGCGGCCCTCCTTCCTAACCCTGTCCCTACACATCTTAGGTGCCTGTCAGAGCTGAGGTTCCTTAGGCCTGTGAGGCCAGGGCCCAAGCAGACATGATGTCCAACGCCCACTCAAGAGCCTCAAGGTGGCAAGCTCAGCCGACTGTGTCTGGACCTGCATGTCCCACAGCAAAAGGCTGACAGCCGATCTCGGCCCCTCCAGCCTGGTCCTGCTGTCCCCACCCTCTCTGAGCTGACAATGCCATGGGCCACCACGGCTCATCAGAGTGGGGGCCTCTCCGGTCAGCACTGCTCGTGGAGACGGGACTCTCACTGTCACGCAGTCCTGGAGAGGCAGGAAGAGCATGTGATGGTGACCAGTGATACCAGCTACCACGGACGGGGACACGCCCCAACCCAGCACTGGCAACAGGTGCCTTCGCAGGGTGCTGTCACTGGAAGCCCCAGGTGCTGAGGGCTCCCACACTCTCTCCAAGCCCACACCTCAACTTCCTGTCTCCCACCTTGTCCAGGTGGACACTGAGGCACCTGCATTTCCCAGGTGAGAACAGCGAACTGGACCCAGCTCTTGCAGGACACTCTATTATGTAAGGAAGATAATGCCGCCCCCCTGGCACTGGCACTACCTCCGACGGGGGCCTCAAAAGCCCGGGTGCCCCGAGCTGAGTAGAAGGCCGGTTTTCCAGCCCTCGCCCCAGCTCTCCTGTCACCGGCTCAGGACTTGGAGGGGGACTCTGGCCATCCACTCCCCCGAGTCCAGGCTGTGTGAGGATTGAGGGGGTGGGGTGGGGGGCACAGCTGGCGAGGTGAAGAGTGGGAAGGGCCTTGTTCCCACCCCCAGGGGTGCCCCACCAGGCAGGGCTGTGGGGATCCCGCCCCGTGGGCAGCCCTGGCCATCTTACCTCACAGCGTCCAGTCTCTTGTTCTGCCGGATGAGCTCGATGAACTCCTGGATGCGCAGGCTAAACTCCAGGCAGCTCTGAGGGCAGAGACAGGGCGGGGCTCAGGCAGCGCCCCCTACGCGGGCAGTGCTGGCCGCGTGTGGGCCTCACGGGCACACAGCCGGGCCGCTCCAAAGGAGCCCCCCTAAAGATGCAGATGGGGTGACTCCGAGGGACCCCTCCTAACCAGCCAGACGGGGCCACTGTGAGGGACCCTTAGCCAGGTCCACGCTGCTGCAGGTTGGGAGCTTGGTCCCTGCTGACACCCCGAGTGGGGAACAGGCAAGTGGAAGGTGCGAGCAGGTGGGACTCAGGACCGCAGGAGCGGCAGACAGCCTGACGGTCGGGCGCTACCTCCAGGGTGGCTGGCCCGTGACTGGACGAGGAGGTCACAGGAAGGCTGTGGATCTGCCTCAACGCCACTGAGGCCACAAAGCCTGGGCACACGGGTCTAAGCCTCCTCCCGCACCAGCTCCTCTTCCCCAAGCCCGGGCCTGGGACTAAGTCAGAAAAGGAACAACCTAAAGTAAAGTCTCTTCAGAGTCTGAGAAACAAACTCAGAAGTCCTGGCTGGACACTGGTACATGAGCGAGGAGAACAGGAGTCACGTCCTGGGGTCCTACCCTCGTGTGCCACTTCCCCAGCTTCCTGATCCCCAGCGGGTGGGAGACAGGAATCCTACACAGCAAACACGGCAACCCTCTATCGTCAGACAGTGAGCACTCCCACCACGGCTCCGGCGACGCTTCTGACAGGCAAGCTCATCAGGCTGCACACCCGGCCCCTCACCTGCTCTTGCGGCCCTTGGCCTCCCCTAGGCTCACGCTGCCCTCCTGCCCCCTGTCCTCACACTCACCCTCTGCCCCACACCTTTCCAGTCCTCTGGCCTCCCACCTTCCTGCTCAATACTCCTATCTGTGGGTCAGCAGCAACCACTCTCCTGCCCCCCCCCCCGACTGTCCAGTTCATCGCCGCCCTGCTCCACAACCCTGTCTGCCTGCCCCACACCCTTCTGGTCCTCTAGTCCACCCTGCTGGCTGCCACTCCAGGGCCCCAGCCTTGCTGGCAGCAGCCACGTGCAGAAGTGAGGCTGGAAGGGGGGCCAGCAGGGTGTTGGAGACAGGCGTGAGCGCAGTGGAAGCACCTTCCTGTCAGAAGGCTCTGGAGAGTTGGGGCTCCCACTGGAGGGGCTCCCCAGCCTCTCCCTTTGTTTGTTTACTGAGACACGTGGTCCAGGTCGGTTGGATATGAACCAGTAAGGCATATGCCCCCACTTAACAGGCAGAGACCATGACCTTCTTCTCGCTTCAGGACCAGGGCAGTAGAGGCCACAAGGGCAGATCATAGACTCCATGGGGGGTAACAGAGGGTCATGGGCCCAGGCTACACAGTGGGCTGAAGAGGATGCTAAGATAAAGGGGCCCCATGTGGTCACCCTAGAGGGCCATCATTTGGGGCAGAGGCACAGGACAGGTCAGGCAGGACGCCCCCCTGGCAACTTGTCTTCCTCACACGGGGTCCCTGTTCTTGGGGTTGGCCTCCCAGTCAGAGGGGAGAGTGCGCCGGTACCAGGCCTGAGACAGCGGCAAGTGCTGTGCCCGTGGAGCCTGCCCTACGGTTCCTTCTATTCCAGACACACAGCACGGGAACTGGGGGTCCCTGAACCCCGGGGCGTGGCCTCTTCCAGGCCATGTCCCACTCCTGAACGTGTGCACCAGTGGAGTGCGTGTGGTGTACGTGTGAAGTGTGTGCCTGAGCATGTGGCACACGGAGGTGTGAACGCGTGTGGTACATGTATAAGCATGATCACGTTCAGGTGTGCCTGCGTGGGCCGTGTTATGTGAAGTGTGATAATGTGGGTCATGCGTGAGCATGTGCACAGACACCATGTGCTCTGCTCGGCCCCCAGGATGGCCTGTACTGGGCACGTCCTCGAGACGTTACGTGGTCATTACAAAGCTCTCGGTGGCCTCCTGTCTGCAGGAACCAAGCGTCAGAGCCAATGCTTTCATGTGCAGACCGTCCCTCTGTGGTCCCCATTCCCATGGAAGCTCTCAGGACACAAGGTCCTCCATGGACGGCGGGCGGAAGCGTCCCCCTCCGCGGCCTGGCTTCTTGGGAGCCCTGTGGGACGGGGGCCGAGGGCTACATACCAGCTCCGGCCTTCCTCTCACGGCCTCCACACCCAGGTCCTCACTCTCTCTGGGGGAGCCACTGGCCGCTCTACTCTTTCGTGCCGTCTTCGCTTCCTGATCGCTTTGGCGGCCCTGGGTGTCAAAGAGTGTCACCCCGGGATGGGGACTATGTGCACCTCCACACGCTCAAACGGGTTAAAGCAGCACTCACAAACAGACCTCTAGGGGAGGCAGGTTAATGTGTCAATGTCTCTGCAAGCCCTCCGGTGAGACCCTCTTATCAAGCCAGTTATGATGCTGGATGCACGCAGCGAGCCGTGAGCCTCAGAAGTGCTCCACCGGGGCTCTGCGCTGACCACTGCCCCATGGGGCCTCCAGGGTCAACGGCTGGCACGCAGCAGACCCCGTGTCCCTCGAGGCGTGCCCCCATGCGGTGTGCCCTCGCTGGCTCAGAGCACCATGCTGGGTGTAGTCACCCACATCCGAGCGTAGACGGGGGCACTGTTCACGGCTGGCACCCAAACGCCAAGCTCCATCAGCAAGCCTGAAGCCACACCAAGACCAACAGGCTGCCCACAGCCGAGGGGGCAGCAGCCCGGGCGGGACCCACACGCACCTTCATCTTGCGGAGCCGGGACTTGTTATCGTGGCACCAGGCCAGGCAGGTGGCTGTCTCCCGTCTCTCCAGGGACTCCTCCACCTCTTTGGCCGTCAGGAACATCTCGATGTTCACCAAGTCCTTCAGGAAGGAAGGGCCCAGTCAGCACCTAACGCCCCAGACCCCCTCTGCACACGCGGGGGAAGCCCTGGGCTGGCTCTCCCCAGCCTCCCTGCCCAACAATGGGACCCTCTCTCCTGGCTCGGGGCCCAGCTCCAACTCAGCGGAGATGCTGTGTACCCATCCCTGTCCTGTACCACACAGCATGGTCCACAGGCCTGGCCACTCCACTCGGTTGGTGCTATGGCACACTGCAGGGCTCGGGGACAGCATGACAGCAACACAACATCACTGTGACCTCTCATCTCCTGCCCTGCCTCTGTACACACAGGTACACGAGGTCATGAGCGTGGAATACAGAGGGAAAAAACCACACAGAAGCACAGAGACACACATACACGGTCAGGAGTGATAGACAGACAGACAAAGACACACACAAGCATACATTTAAGGTCAGAAGTGGTACTGAGACAGACACACACACACACAC